AATTAAAATGTTAAATTTAATTTTCATTTGGCCACACTACTTATTCATGAATAATTGTCGTAATCTTATAGTGATTTCCTATTCCATAAATAAAGGTACTAACAATCACCATTCTATCTATTCTACACTTCATTGTAACTGTTTTACAAAATTTAAAGTTACTATCACCAACTAGGTGATAAAAAGTTGTGGTGACAACCGAAAGTATAGGTTTGAATCCACCAGATGCACCCAGGAAAACAATGGCAATTTACAGCCTTCAAAAGCCAGGGGAAAGGCACATAACAATATCATTACCTAGTCACTTTAACTTTCTCAATTTAGTGGACAATGGGATAGGGTTGGGGAAGTAAGGCCAACTGGCATTGCTTATTAGGAGGAGATAAGATTGCTGAATGTACTGAAGGCAGTGAATGAAAAACAGCTATAGAGCTATGGAGGTTAATTAGGAAATGAAACTTTCTCCGCTATAGAGAAGGCCTGCCCTAGCAGCTAAGTAGCTCCCTTTAACAGAGAGCTGGGGGGAAATGAGGCTGATGTTTGTGCTTTGGTGTCACTATCTTTCCAGAATCTCCCAAACTCTTAGACATGTTACAACCTACTTTAGAAATCAAACCTCCCACATCACTAAGGGGGAAGTACTTGGTTATATATACCGTAAAATGTTATCATACAAAAGATTCCTCACAGATCATTAAAAAATATGCACAGAATCCTGTAAAAAATTTACAAAAGGTACAGATAACTGAAAAATGAGAAATAAAAATGGCCAGTAAACAAAGATGAAAAATGTTAGTCATAATACAAACGAAAATGTAAAAAGCACTAGACAATGACAACTGTAATAAAGATTGTTAGAGAAAACACTTTATACTCAGTACCACATACACAACACGTAAACTGAGACTGTCAGACTAGAACTTACTTGTATCAGACTTAAAAGTTTACAAATTGGTTCAGATATTAAATTCCTAGAAATTAGTAGTAAGGAAAATGCTATTTTTTTTTCTTGACTCAAGAAAAGTATTTTATACTGGTTTACTTACAAAGCTCATATGCATTGTTTTTCACACCAAATCTTTATTTTTAATCTCCTTACAGTTGCTTTATTTTCTGATTTATATTCACATCGTCATTTCCTAGCCTACCTAAAGCTTGAGCTTACTGAGAAAAAGAAATTCCTCTGTGTTCTCTGGTGAACGTAAATATTTTCAAAACTGTAGATGTTTAAAAAGTTGGAACAGACCCAATATCCAATAGCAGGGGATTGGTTAATCCTTCCATAATCCAAGGGCCATATAGAGGCCATCTGCACTCTCTGGCCCTGGGGTTCAATAGTTAAGTGTTGTCCCACTTTTAATGGGTTCTGCCACCTGGTGGACGCCTGTATAATAGCATGAATCTGAAGAAACTAGGCTTACCCACCAACCCCAGCAACAGAGACATCTTGAAACAAATGTTTCCCACTAATTGTATAAAAATGAATACTGCACATTTTTTTCCCTCCCATTTCATTTAAAATGTTTTCCATTACTGAAAATGCTTGGTTTCAACAAGAAATTAGAAGCAGAGAATAGCCTGGTGTTGAAAAGGTTAAATCAATAGAGACAAGACTACTATACAACCTGGAGAGGATGAAACCAAGTTGCTCTCTGAAGTCAAGGATTTTGAAGCTCTATGTCACATAATTTGGGCAACTGGCCAGGAGGGACTAGTCCTTGGAGAAAGATATCATGCTTGGAAAGTTGGAGGGACAGCGTAGGAGAGGAAGAACCTAGGTGAAATGCATTTACTCAGTAACTGAGATAATGGGTTTAGGTATGTCAGTGAAGCGAGACTGGCTCAGGCCAGGGGAGGGTTCAGAGGTATTGTACACAGGGTCCCTATGTAGCAGGCAACTTGACGACACATAATAACAACAACAACAACAACTATATAACCGTTAAAAATTAATCTCATGCTCAATGCTGTTGAGTCAGAACTGATTCCTAGCTGATCCTCTTTCGGGTTTTCAGAGGCTGTAAACCGCACAGGAGGAGATTCCCATTTCTCTCCACCAGAGCAATTGGTGGATTATAATGTTGATTAATCTACCCCAAGAAAAAAACTCCCAGTAATTACTTGTGATACTGTTACATGATAAGAGCAGGGCACAGTATACTATTAACATCATCTTTGTAAAAAAGATAGAGGGGGGAAAATCTATATTTAAAGGTAAAAGACTAAACTATTCAAAGACAAAAAGACAGTATACATGAAGACATTAAACAGAGGCTATATATGAGCTGGTTATATTATAGGTGATTTCCCCCCCTTATTTGCTGTTTTCTGTAACATTCAAAAGTTATTTACAATGAACATAATTTTTTAATAAGACAAAGCTATTCAAAATACAAACCAAAATCAAAACTTCTCAGTTTCTAGTACAAATAAGGAAAAAGAAAATTTACCTTCTAATGAGTCATCATCAGAAATAAGTTCATCATCAGAGCATATGTTGAGAATGTTAACCAGCATCTCTGTGACTATATAAAACAAATAGAAATTTACACAATTAATAAAGCAACTTTTCTAATAATGTTCATCTCAAAATAACCATACATGTTAAATTATTCTTATATTATTAAGACTGTTGTTGCTGTTGTTGTTAGGTGTTGCTGAGCCAAGTACAACTCACAGCAATCCTACAAACAACAGATCTGAACTCTGTTCTATCCTGCGCCATCCTCAAAATTTCTGACATACTCAAGCCCATTGCTTTAGTTACTCTGTCAGTCTATCTGGTTGAGGGTCTTACTCTCTTCCATTGACCTTTTCAAGTATGATATCCTTCTCCAATGTATAGCCACTCCTAACAACATGCTCAAAGTATGTGAGATAAAACTTCATCATCTTTGCTGCACCTTCTCCAATATACATCTGTTTGTTCTTTTGACAGTCCATGGGATATACAGCACTGTTCTCCAATAATAGAGTTAGTTCTTCTGTCATCCTTATTAAGTGTCCACCTCTCAGATGCCTAGGAAATGACTGAAAAAAAATGGCCTGGATCAGGAACACCTACATCTTCAAATTTACAACACTGCTCCTTAATAATTCGGAGAGGTCCCTGACTGCACACTTTTCTTGTGCAATATGTCTCCTGATTTTGGGTACTAAGGATGTGGATTTTGGATCCAAGTAAGATGAAGTGTTGATATCTATCATGATGTTGCCTGTACATCCAGTGGTAGAATTTTTATTTTCTTGACCCCATGATGCAATCTATATTGAAGGCCGTAGCTTTCTATCTTCTGTAGCAGTTGCTTCAAGTCCTCTTCCCTTTCAGCAAGCAAGGTTGTGTCGTCTGGATTATGTAGGTTGTTGATAAGGCTTCCTCTAGTCCTGATGCCCCATTGTTCTTCATACAGTTCAGCTTCTTAAATAATTTGCTCATCAAACAGATGGAATAGGTATGGAGAAAGGATACAACGACACACACCTTTCTTAATTTTAAACCATGCAGTGTTTCCATAGGGAGCTCTGGTGGGCCTAGTGGCAAGAAGTTGTGCTGCAATCCTGAAGACTTGCAGTTTGAGGCCACCAGCTGCTCTGCAGAAGTACGGGCAATCTTCTCATGTACGATTAATTGCCTCTGAAAACCCACTAGAGGGTCAGCTATGTGTTGGTTCTGACTTGATGGTACACAACAACGATAAATGTTTCCATACTCTGCATGATAGCCTGTTCATCTAGGTCTAGGTTTTGCATGAGTACAATAAAATGTTCTGGGATTTTTCTTCTTAATGTTAACAACAGTCTGTTATGATCCACACAATAAAATGTCTTGCATAGTCAATAAACCACAAATAGATATTTTTTTGGCATTCTTTCTTTCAGCCAGGATCCATCCGACATCAGCAATACTATCCCTGTGTCATGATCTCTTCTAAAGCCAGGTTGAAGTTGTGGCAGTTTTCTATGTACTGTTAGAGCTGTTTTGTGTTGTTTTTTTTTAAAAAATAACCTTCAACAGTATTTTGTTTGCATGTGATATTAATGATGCTGTTTAATAATGTTCACATTCTGTTGGATCACCTTTCTTGGGAATAGCAACAAATATGGGTCTCTTCCAGTCAGCTGGACTGGTAGCTGGTGCTCCCAATGTTCTGGCACAGACTGCTGAGCACGTCCAGGGCTGTAAGGTGAAACACACCAACTGGTATTCGATCAATTCCTGGGGCTTTCATTTTTTTGCCAATGTCTTCAGTGAAGCTTACACAAGTTCTGTTAAGACTAGTATATAACGAATAGCTTTAAATATAAAATAATCAGCTTACCAGTTTCAGTAGAAGTCTAGAATCTTTTAAGATTCTACTCTATAACTTTATTTTGTTAGATTGTTTCTCAGTCTTTTCTGCATTGGTAGGTACATGAAAAAAAAATGTCATTTCATAAAGAAATGAAATAGTCTATGTCCAATAGGTTCATTTTATACTTGCATGGTTTATGTGTATAGTTTCACAAATATAATTCTAAGGAGAGTACTTGCTGTTGAATCTCTTCAGAACAGAAAAAAAATCACTGAGGGAAAGACTGACTCTGCAATTTTAACACACTGATCTTAGTAGGAGAGCTACTTTCAATTGATATTTAGAATAAGAAATGCACAAGTCATTATAATTTAAGTCAGTTAAGTCTCATTTAAGACTCACTGTAGAGAAAAAAAACCCAAAACAGAAAATATTTCTGAGCAAGAGCCTATGGTGATGAAGAAAGAAGTTCAGGCTGCTTTGAAGGAAATAGCAAAAGATAAGGCCCAGGAATAGATTGTATACCAATTGACATATTTCAGCCAATAGATGCTGCCCTGAACGTGCTCACCAAGTTGTGCCAAGAAATCTGGAGAACAACCACTTGGCCAACTGACTGGAAGAGATCTGGATTTGTTCCCATCCCAAAGAAGGGTGACCCAACAGAGTGTGGAAACTATAGAACAAGACCATTGATTTCACATGCAAGCAAGATTCTACTGAAGATTATCCAAAAATGACTGGAACAGCACACCAGCAGAGAACTGCCAGAAGTCCAGCTGGGTTTAGAAGGGGTCGTGGTACTAGAGACATTGTAGCTGATTTAGATGGATCTTGGCTGAAAGCAGGGAATACCAAAGGAATGTATATCTGTGTTTCATTGACTATGCAAAGGCATTTGACTGTGTGGATCATAACAAACTGTGGCTGACTCTGAGAAGAACTTGGACCAAGAGGCAATCGTCAGAATAGAGCAAGGAAACACTACATGGTTCAAAATTGGGTAGGGTATATGCCAGGGATGTGTCCTGTCTCCATACCTTTTCAAGCTGTATGCAGAACAAATTATCCGGGAGGCTGGGCTCTATGAGGAGAAATGTGATGTCAGGATTGGTGGAAGATCTATCAACAATCTGCGTTATGCAATTGACACAACCCTGCTTGCTGAAACTGAGGAGGACCTGAAGCGCTTGCTGCAGAAGGTCAAGGACTGCAGCCCTCAATATGGACTGAGGTTTAATGTCAAGAAGACAAAGATTCTCACCACTGGACCAAGTGGCAGCGTCAGGATGGATGGTGAAGAGATTGAGATTGTTCATAGCTTCAGTTTGTTTGGCTCCACAGTCAACACTCTTGGCAGCAGGAGCCAGGAAATTAAAAGATGTATTGCTATGGGAAACTCTGCTGTTAGGGACCTCTCCAAAGTACTGAAGAGCAATGGTGTCTCTCTGGAGATTAAGGTGTGTCTGAC